CGAGCCCGCCCTGCTTCTACAGGAGCGGCGACAGCAGGTGGGGCGCGGCCGACGATCCTTGTCAGCGCGTGTCTGCTTGGCCACCGTGTGACGTATCGTGGGACGTGTTGCGCACCGCCTGTGGATCGCCGAACGCCCACTGGGTTTCTTCTCGACTGTTTGTGGCGTGAGCACCGCTTTGTTGAGTGTCTCCCTGTCTGCCCTGAGATGGACCTTCTCGCCATGCCGTCGCCGCGGCCTCCGATACGGCTGGTGCGGGACACAAGTGACGGGCGCCGCCGCGTGGTGACCGCGCAAGGCAGTAGCCTGCCGGTCTCGCCTACGACGCTCATTCGCGCAGACTGCGCGGGGCTGCGGGTACGGCTGGAGCGGCGTAGTGCGCGTGTAGCTGATGAGTTGCTGCTGCGCAGGCTCGCGGGGATTGACGGTTGCGTCTTCAAATCGCGGTCTCCCAGCTGTGGTGTTGGGGACGCGAGATTGTACGCGTCCGAGCGTGGTGGCTGCTACGACGCGGTGGATGGCTTCTTCGTTGACGAGTGGGTGCGTCCTGCTGCAGGAGCGGCGTCGATTCCCATCACGACAGAGCGCCAGTTATGCTTCGACGCTGAGGAATCCGCGTCGCGGGTGCAGAAGACGAGCAGCAGGTACGCCGTGTTGGCGTTCGTTTCGGACGTTCTCGCGTCCTTTGAGGCGCGGAATGGTGTCGACTCGTCCCTCAGTGATGGGTAGCCATTTGTTAATTATTGCCGGTGGTGGTTATGGCCATCATCGTCGTCGTCGCGGGGTGCACTTATCGAGAAATTCATCATCATCCCACAGTTGCATTATGTTCTGTGTACTTCTTGACTGCTTTATTCTTGCCCGTTCTCTTACCTCATTTACTCTCCTTGGCTGTTGTTGTCGCCTCAGCATTAGGAGGCAGCGAAGGGGAAGCATATTAATCCAGGAGCCACAGCGACGTAATGGCCCACACCTCAGCCGCCTGGAACGAGGAGTTCGAGGTGCAGAAGCGGATGCAGGAGGACCGCATGAACTTTGCCAACAGTATGACGTGTCATGAGCGATGTGTCTCACACTATTGGTTGAACAACTTCTACGCGGGGGAGTATCGGTGCATGAAGAATTGTCTGGAGAAGCTCAACCAGGTGGGCGTCATCACTAACATCAACTTGACCAAGTACGAGCAAGAAAAGGCCACACAAAAGCGCAAGTGACAGCTGTGATGGGCAGACCCGGCAAAAGGTGAGTGGTGGCAGGAGAGAGGGTTTGACGCTGCAACCAGCGAACCTCCCCTTTTTTGATTTTTCTTGTTGTGACTGCTCACCAGTAGCCTCAGCGTGCTTAGTTCAGGTTCCTCACAGCCAGCATGCACACATGGAGTGGCAGCAGCAGCAGCAGCAGCAGCAGCAGCTGATTGATTGCCAGCCTTGTGCAGTGCCGCCCTTCCATCTCTTACTCACTCATTCGCTGTAACACATTTAANTTGTGACTGCTCACCAGTAGCCTCAGCGTGCTTAGTTCAGGTTCCTCACAGCCAGCATGCACACATGGAGTGGCAGCAGCAGCAGCAGCTGATTGATTGCCAGCCTTGTGCAGTGCCGCCCTTCCATCTCTTACTCACTCATTCGCTGTAACACATTTAATCGGAGAGGGATGAACGCACCGAACGACTCCATGGAATTTTTGGGAGGTTTTTCCCCGACACCACAACAGCAAGTATATATATATATATATATTGTTGCCGACGTTCTCTCGCTCTCTGCTCTCTTCGAGCTACAGTGTGAAGAGAATTCGGTCACATCTGTCTTTTTTTCTCTCGTTATTCTGTTCATTTGTGAGGTTGTAAGGTTCTCACGTGTCCCTTCCCTACTTTCACTGTGCAGCAGGACAGGGAGTGAGAGAAATCGAGTATCTGAGTGTGTGTGTGTGTGTGTGTGTGAGAAACAATTTCTTAGGGTCACGCTGTGAATACACCGAAAAGGAATAGAAGAAAGCAAAGATGGTGTTGGCGGAGCTCGGGCAGAAGATTGGGGCGGCGATCTCCAAGATGTCGTCCAAGTCCCTGCTGGGTGAAGACGACGTGAAGGAGCTCCTCAACGACGTCGCACGCGCTCTGCTGCAGGCCGACGTGCATGTGAAGACGGTGAAGGAGCTGCAGCAAACCATCCGTGCGGAGGTCGCCATCACGTCGGAGGCGGCTGGGCTGAACAAGCGCAAGATGTTGCAGAACGCTGTGTTCAACGGCATAAAGAAGATCCTCGACCCTGGTGTGAAGCCATTTGTGCCGGTAAAGGGTAAGACGAACATTGTGATGTTCGTTGGCCTGCAAGGATCCGGCAAGACGACGTCGTGCACAAAGTATGCGGCGTACTTCCAGCGGAAGGGATTTAAGACTGGGCTTGTGTGCGCTGACACGTTCCGCGCTGGTGCCTACGATCAGCTGCGTCAGAATGCGACGAAGGCAAAGGTGCGTTTCTACGGCTCACTAACAGAGGTGGACCCTGTTGTTATCGCCAAGGAGGGTGTGGCGGAGCTGCAGAAGGAGAAGTACGACCTCATCATCATCGACACAAGCGGCCGCCACAAGCAGGAGTCTGCCCTCTTTGAGGAGATGAAGCAGGTTCAGGAGACAGTGCAGCCGAACGACATTGTCTTTGTTATGAGCGCAACGGACGGGCAGGGCATACAGGAGCAGGCGCGACAGTTCAAGGAGAAGGTGCCGGTCGGCTCTGTGATTGTGACCAAACTCGATGGACAAGCAAAGGGCGGCGGTGCACTAGCGGCAGTTGCCATGACAAAGAGTCCCATCATCTTCATTGGCACCGGTGAACACTTTGACGACTTTGAGTTGTTCCAGCCGGAGAGCTTTGTGAGGCGGATGCTGGGGATGGGTGACATGCGGGCACTGATGGACTCCATGAAGGACGCGAACATTAACGCTGATAGCGAGCTGTACAAGCGCTTCCAGGACGGTCAGTTCACGATGCGCGACATGTACGAGCACCTGCAGAATGTGCTCAAGATGGGCTCCGTAAGCAAGCTCATGGACATGATCCCTGGCATGTCGGCGCTCGGCGGCGCCGCGGGAGAGCTCGGTGATGTGACGCTAAAGTCATTCATCCACATCATGGACAGCATGACCCCCGCGGAACTTGACGACGCACGTGTGAAGAAGATGATGACGCCGTCACGTGTACACCGCGTGGCGCGGGGCAGCGGTCACTCCATACTTGCGGTGCACAACCTGATTAATAGCTACTCCAAATTTGAGGAGGTTGTAAAGAAAATGGGCAAGATGAACTTCAAAGCCATGACTCAGGACCCAGGCAGCATGCTGTCTGGGCGCATTGGGCAGCAGCAGATGACGCAGCTAGCGAAGGCCCTCAACCCGAACATGCTGCGACAGCTTGGCGGTCTCGGTGGGCTGCAGGACATGATGAAGCAGCTGCAGAATATGAAGTGAGTGCTGAGGAAAGAGGTGTGGGGAAGAAGGAAGAGGGTGAGAGAGAGAGAG